CTCTATGAGGTGGACTGATTCAGTGACTGGGGCAATCGGGATGGGTGTGTCAGAGGCAGTGCGACTGGCACAGGAGAGAGCAGGGTTTAGGGCTGTTGTACATTGGGTCACTGTGAGTCTCAAGCCACTTGACAGCACATAACAACAACAAATTACAGAATGTGTGTCATAATGTATCTATCTGTTTTTCTTAAGAAAAGGGGTTTTAATATAAAATTTTCTACCTTTCTGAAATCATTAATTTTCTCCCTTAATTTCTGAAAATCTATTATGTGTATATAAATAGTTTATAAAGAAGTTATTTTATATTATAAACCAGTTGCTTTTAAGTTGTTGTTGTTATGTTACCATCAATTATGAGTTGAGTGCAACTCATAGTGACCCTGTGAACAACATATCTGAACCCTGTCCAATCCTGTGGCATCCTCACCATCTCCAACATATTTGAGCCCAGTATTACAATGCCATGTCAATACATCTTGTTAAGAGTCTCCCTCCTTTACACTGAACTTATAAAGCAGGATATCCTTCTCCAAGGACATCCCTCCAAACATGCCCAATGTATGTGAGACAAAGTTTCACTATTCTTGTCTCCAAGGAACATGCTGATTTCTCCAAGACAGACTTACCTGCTTTCTTGGAAGTTCATGAGACACTCAGTACTCTTCTTAAACACAACTGAAACATATAGATTATTCCTCTTTCATCCCTCAGTTACTGTCCGACTTTCAGATGTACAGCAAGTAACAGAGAAGACCATGGCTTGGATTAGGCACACTTTAGCCTTTAAACTGACTTTATTGCTCTTTAGTCCTCTGGAGAGAACTCTGCCACCAGATTTTTCCAACATGACTTGTGTTTTGATTTTTCTTGATTTCTAGTACCTAGCCTGTTGATTGTGGCTCCAAGTCACATTGGATGAAATAATAATAATAAAATTAAATAGGTGATAATTACAATCTATTTTGCATTTATTATGATGTTGTCTATTGAACCAGTGGTAAGAATTCTTGTTTTCTTAGTGTTGAAATATAATCCATATTGAAAGTTGTAGTCTTTGATTTTCTGTAGCTTCAAATCCATCTCTCATTTAGTGAGCAGGGTTGTATAATCTGCATAACACAGATTGTTGATGAATCTTCCTCTGATCCTAATGTCACATTCTTCTCATAAAGTTGGGATTCCTGAATGATTGGTTCAGAGTATAGATTAACCAGGCATGGAGAAAAGCTACAGTGCTGATTGGCTAAAAGCCTCTTTGGTCTATGGACAAATTTCACATGAACACAATTTTATGTTTTCAGAATCTCATTCTTCTCAAAGCTATCTATAATTTGTTATAATCCACATAGTCAAATGCCTTTACATAGTCACTAAAACACAAATAGACATTCTTCTGGTATGGTATTACCTGCTGTAAACCAGGATCCATCTGGTATCAGCAATGTTATCCCTGGTGATATGACCACTTACAAATGCAGCATGAATTTCTGCAAGTTCTCTAAATACTATTCCAGCTATTTTTAAATAAACTTCAGCAAAATTTTGCTTACATATGATATTAATGATACCACTTCATAATTTCCACATAAAATATTAAAATGAAATTTGAGGAAAGAACTTGAAATTGACTTTTTGACTATGAATGCAACACCATTCTTCCTCTGTTTTTCATTTCCTGTATAGTATAACCATAGGATTATCTGATTCAAAGCCAAATCTGGTCCATCACATCTCACTAATGCCTAGTATGTTGATATTGATGTGTTCCATTTCATTCTTAACAATTTCCAGTTTTCCAACATGTAAGCTATATACATCCCACATACCAATTGTTAAACAATGTTTGTAATTGATTTACCTCATCTCAACTGACTTCCAATCTGGGCTTTACCACTACACTATTTTAACTATCCTCTTTGTTTAGTATTCATAGGGTTTTCAAAGGGCTGTTATTTAGGAAGTAGATGGCCCATCCTGCTTCCTAGTTTGTCTTTTTTTTTTTTTTTTTAATTTTTTATTCAGGGAGCTCCACCAAAACCTGTCCATGATGGGAAACCCTTACGGCATTTGACACACCAGAAGCACAAATTTCAGTATTACAGCAACCTCAAATTATCTCAGTAAAGCAAACTGAGAGACAAGTGCTGCTGAACCACTTAGCTTTATTGACTATGGAAAGGCATTTGATTGTGTAGATCATGCCAAGTTCCCGCTGAGATTGAGAAGAATGGGAATCCCAGAGCATTTGATTGTGCTCATATGGAACCTATACCTGGACCAGCAGGCTTTTATGAGAACAGAACAGGGGAGCACTGCATATTTGGAACTGGGAAGGGAGAGTGCCAGGGTTGTATTCTCTCTCCTATTCAATCTGTATGCTGAGCAAATTATCTAAGAAGCTAGACTCTACAAGGAGGGGTATGGCATCAGGATTGGAGAGAGGCTCATCAATAATTTGCTTTATGAAGATGACACAACCTTGCTTGCTGAAAGTGAGGATGACTTGAAGCACTTGTTGCAGAAGATCAAGGAATGCAGCCTTCAGTATGGATTGCATCTCGATGTCAGAATAACAAAGATTCTTACTATGGGACCAACAGGCAGTGAGTGTCATGATGTATGGAGAGGAGACTGAAACTATCAATAGCTTCATCTTGCTTAGAAACACAATTAACACCCTTGGTACCAGCAGTCAGGAAATAAGGAGTCAGACGACACTGGGAAAATCTGCAGTTAGGGACCTTTCCAAGTTATTGAGGAGTTAGTGATGTCAGTTTGAAGGCAAAGGTGTGTCTGATTCAGGCCATAGTCTTTCCGATTACTAATTATGCATCCGAGACAATGTATAAGGATGACAGAAAAAGAACTGATATCTTAAGCTGTGGTGTTGGAGAAGAGCACTGAATATCCCATGGACTTCCAAGAGAGCAGATATATCTTGGGGAAGCAAGAATGGTAAGGTTTTGTCTCACATACTTTGGACATGTTGCTAGGAGGTGTTCTTCCTTGGAGAAGGACATGATGCTGGGAAGGGTAGAGGGTCAGTGAAGGAGCGAAGACCTTCAACCAGGTAGACTGATACAGTGACTGCTGCAATGGACTCTGTGTGTCAAGAAGTGTGAGGATGGTGCAGAAAAAAACAGGTTTCAGATCTTTTGTTCATAGGGTCACTATGAGTCATGTTCAACTTGACAGCACCTAACAACAACATAATGAAATGTCTGAAGAGATGGAGCCAGAAAAAAAAAATGGAAGAACTTGCTCTGCATTTCTCAAGCTGAGAGCACAGAAACTCAAGCCTCACAATACTGAATGATCCAGGAAACATCAAAGGCCCTAATTTGTTGTACTCCATATAATCAAATGCCTTTGCAGTCAATAAAAGAGACAGACATTCTGTATTCTCTAAACTGTCAACATTTTTATCATCTAGATAAACTTTGAAGATAAATGGAATGCTTGTTTTCCCAGAAAGTGAGAAAGAAATAGATGTGCAGAGTTGAAGTGGCAGTGGAATAGGTCACCAACAAAAAAATAAAATAAAAACTCAAGGGACTTTATCTGGCAACACAAGTCAAAACACATATTTAAAAAAGTAAAGCTGCTTCATGATAATGAAGATAAAGGACTCAAGCTTAAGGATCCTAAAATCAAAGAAATAAATGATGGAAGTATTTGGGATCTGCAGTGCTTTTCAGGGTTGCTACTACGAAGGAAAAATAATAGCAAATGAGAAATGTATGAAACAAATGACTATAACTATAGTCAATTTAAACAATTACACAAAAAAGTCAAAGAAAAGAGAAATATAAAGAAATGAAAATGTCTAATCTAGAAAATTATAACATAAATGAATAAAACATACTGACAAGTAAGGTGTAAAATTGAAGATGTTCCCAGCAGAAAAGTTCCTGAAGAAAACCTCACCATTTTTGGCTACTTCTGCTATGATGTTAGCTACTTTGGCTGTGCAGGAAGACTGTGGAGTCAACAGATTTGCAAAGAGCTGAAGTATTCCACTTCCTTGGATTTTCTCACTTGTTTCCATATCTGAAAGAGATGCACACAAAGAATTTCAGTGAAAATTTCCAACTCTGATAACTTTATCTACCTTATAAAAGTCTAAAATCAGAGACACCTGGGTTTATGTATAAATAGAGCAGTCTAAAACAGAGCCTTAATTCCATTTTAAACTCATAGCATTAAGTTTGGAATTCATATTAGATTTTTAAGGTGTCAATTCCTTTAACTTGATGAATGATCTGCTCATATACTTGAACAAAGATACTCCTTTTCCCTGAGACCAATCTAAAGAAGGGTCTTTTCTGTTGTAAACAGTTGTAGGGTGCTCTCTGAGGGTCTTGGAGAGTCAATAAATCTTTCCTATGGGATCTCAGGGAACGTAATTTTATCAGTAGGTTACCAGAAAAGTGTTTTTGTGGGTTTTTTTGTCCTTCTGAGATTATGCTGTAATACACTGAATGACATCTACTGTTGACCAATTATGTAATTTCACTTATGTGTTATGAACCTATTGCTGCCAAATATCGACTTCTTGACCATCCCATCTTTAACTCTCCTGATGGACTTTCAGTCAATTACAGATTTTGTCATCTTTGTTTCCACTTTCAATAGAAAAAGAACATACTGTTGTTCTCTTTTCTTGGTTCGATGGAACGGTGGTCATGTTCATTCTTCTACAAGGGACATTTCCCTCATCCCAGTAATCTCTATCCCTCACCAAACTTCATTTATTTTTATTTAAGCAGACTCATGATGCTACTCTATGCCATAAACAGACTTTCACACGTAACAGAAATATTCCCCATTCATAACAGAAATTAATTTTATTTTTATTATACATCCAGATGCATACTGTATTTATATAAAAATATTCAGTTATACATTGCTGATTGGATTGTGTTAATGTGTCTAGACATTTTAAAGCACAATTTTTTATCAATTGACAGTCATACGATAAACAAAGTTTTTCAAAATATATTATGTGCATACCAAACTTTTCAATATTAGTTCCACCTCTGTCTATTCAAGACAGACGTATTTTTTTTTTATGCTTCCCTTTGGATTTCTTAGATCTCAAACATTTATTATTTCAAACAAGCTCTGTAGTACCATACAATCTACAACCATTTTTAAAAAGGAATTATAAGTACTAACAAACTCAAGTATTTAAAACATTTAATTTAAAAAACCCAAAGAAAGTCAACTATCACTTTTTCATAGAATGAATCATAATAGAAGAGGCCGTATACATTCCATATGACTATTCTGTTTTTTATACAACTCATCCTAACCACCACTAATAAAGGGAAAGAGAAAGTAGTAAAAAAGAGTTCTAATTAGTATCAGAAATTTAGGAAGACCCTCAAGCAGGTGGGCTGACATGGCGACTGCAGCAATGGGCTTCAGAGTGTCAGAGATAGAAAAGGCAGCGGGATATGTTCAGATCCCTTGTTTATAGTGTTGTGTGTACTCTATTCTACGGCACCTAACAACAACTATGAAACAAAGTCCTTTCTTTTGTTCCCCAAAGTGCTATAGAGCAACAATATCAGTTTAAAGACTAAAGTGCACCAGAACTAAGCCATCATCTTTTTAATTATTTGATGCCTTTAGTTGTGGTACTGGCGAAGAGTACTAAACATTCTCATAGGCTGTCAAAAGAACAAACAAATATGGCTTGGAGAAAGTTCAACCAGGGTGTTCCTTGGAGGCAAGGATGGTGAAACTTCATCTCTCACACACCCTGGGCAAGTTGTTAGGAGGGGCCAGTGTTCAATAAAAGATATCATGCTTGTTTAAGTGAAGGGTCAGCAGAAGAGAGGAAGATTCTCAGTGAAATAGACTCCATGACTATAACACAGGGCTTAAGTGTGTCAGAGATTATGAGGATGGCACATGTAAAGACTTGGTTCAGATACATTGTTCACAGGGTTGCTAAGAGTCATAGTCAATTTGACAGCACCTAACAGCATCATGTAACGTCTCAAGACTGATAACCGGGTAGGAGATGGCAACGAATAGGTGGAATGCAAAGACATTAATTATTTAAAATGATAGCTTGAGAAAGCCTCATATCCCCAACAAAGCTCCCAAGTAAATACATTAAAATAACTGGATTTGTAGTGGCAAGAGGGAGTTTTCAAGTACACTGTAACAGTAAGTTGCATTTATGATGTTAACATATAAGCTTCATGGTGATTAATAAAAGACATCTGATAGCCAATTGACAGTAAACTCTCCAAGTTAGAAAATGAAAATGATTGTTAGGACTGCCAAAGTTTTATACTGAAAATATATTCAAGTACCTTAACAGCACAATTTTAAAGAAAAAAGTGTTCTCAATTTTACTTAGATTTGCTGTTGTTATGTGCCATCAAGTTATGACTTATAGCAACCTTATGAGCCGTAGCTCTGAGCCTTGCTCTATCCTGAGACAATCTCACTCTCTCTGACACACCTGACCCTCCCTGTCACAGTCACTGTCTCAATCCATCTCATCCAGGGTCTTTCTCTCCTGTGCTAACCCTCTATCCTTCCAAGTATGATGTCCTTCTCCATGGACTGGTCCTTCCTGGAAAATGCCCAAAGTATGTAGATGGAGCTTTAAAATCCTTGCCTTTAAGGGGTAACCTGTTTTCACTCTCTCCAGGACAAGATCTGTTTGTTCTATTAGCAATCCACAGTATGTTTCAATAATCTTCTTCAGCACGACAACACAAAGGCATCAACTATTCTGCCATACTTAATCACTGTTCAGCTCTTAGATACACAGCAAGCAGCTGAGAACATCCTGGCCTTGATCAGGTACACTTTAGTCTCTAGACTGACAATAAATAATTGGGACCTTCATATTCTTTGTCTTAAGAATCCTTTTAGCAGTTTGTAAGGAAAACCTAGGGTTTCATCAAGCACCAAGATTTGGGGTTGAGTACAAACATGAGGAATGCAAATCAAATAGCTCGATGTCCAGGTCACTATAGATATCATATTTCTTATGGAATAGAATTTCAGAAATGAATAGAAGAGATTTGACCTTATGCTTCAGTGATCTCATCCAAACCCAGGTTCATCTACTACCACACAAAACAAGCACCAAATCTTCTCATTTTACCCAACAAAAATGAAGCCATTTGTACATTGTTGTTATTGTTGTTATATGCCATTGAGTTGCTTGCGACTCATAGCGACCCTATATACAACAGCCCTAAACCCTGCTCTATCCTGTGCCAATCTCACTGCCTCTGACACACCCATCCCAATTACCCCAGTCACTAAATCAATCCACTTCATAAAGGGTCTTTCTCTTCTATGCCGTCCCTCCACCCTCCCAAGCATGATGTCCCTCTCCAAGGACCAGTCCCTCCTTACAACATGTCCAATAAGCCTCAGAATCCTTGCCTCCAAGGAGCCACCCTGTTTAACCCTCTCCAGAATGAATCTGTTTGCTTTCTTAGCAGTCCATGGTACCCTCAATACTCTTGTCTAGCCCCAGAGCTCAAAGGCATCAATTCTCCTTCTATCCTCCCTAGTCATTGTCCAACTCTCTGATGCATAACAAGTGATTGCAAAGACCATAGCCTGTATCAGGCGCACCTTAGTCTCCAGAGTGACACCATTGCTCTTCAATACCCTCGAGAGGTCCCTAACAGCAGACTTTCCCATCGCAATACGTTTTTTGATTTGCTGGCCGAGTGTTTACCGTGGAGCCAAGTAGACTAAAGTTCTTAACAATCTCAATCTCTTCACCATCCATCCTGATGCTGCAAATTGGTCCAGTGGTGAGAATCTTTGTTTTCTTGACATTGAGCTTCAATCCATACTGAAGGCTGCAGTCCATGACCCTCTATAGCAAGCGTTTCAGGTCCTCCTCATTTTCAGCAAGCAGGATTGTGTTATCTGCATAATGCAGATTGTTAATAAATCTTCCACCAATCCTGACACCACACTTCTCCTTATAGAGCCCAGCCTCTCGGATAATCTGTTCTGCATACAGGTTGAAGATACCATAAATAATTCAGCTATGAAATGTCTAAAATAAAGCTTAGTCTTTCCCTCTTAAATTAATTTTAGTCTATTTCAGTGAATGGCAGAAAATTCCTTTAAGCCGGCAGTCCTATGATAATTATAAATTCTTTTCTTTCAGTATATACCTTTTTATTACCTACTTTACAGAATCCAAGCTTCATGGATTCTACCCTGACACTTTTTGTATCTTTTTCTTTCTATACTTCTTCAAGTTCTTTTCCGTTCTGATCTTGATAAATGCAACTGTGCTCCCCACACTTGTCCCCAATCTATCATTACAATGATACCAATATAAACTTCCGGAGGTGCATATTTTATGGTACTCCCTCATTTTAAACTTGTCAGTAGTGCTTTATAACTGTTATTCAATATTCTGGTTCATCAGTGACATTTCTCAATCCTATCTTCTAGTATTCTCCCACAGACATCCCACATTCTAGCCATACTAAACTACATTCAGTAAGCTAACGTAATCATCTTATTTCATACTTCCTTACTGCACAAAATGTCCTTTCTTGGATGTGTAACCTCACTTCCCACTACACCATTTTAGCTAATTCCTAATCAAACTCAGTGTTCTCATTCAAGGCTACTTGATTGAGAGCATTTAAGTTTCTTTACAAAGCATTTTCAAGCACCTCTCTTGATTTGTAACAGCCATATAAGACAGACATGGTAAGTCATCTTTTCTTTATAATACAAACAAAGCCACAAGATAAAATGAAAATTGAAACAAGAAACTTTCTGATTTCTAGTTCTTTCTACTGTGTCATCTAAAAGATGAATGTTGATATATAACAACATCTTGACCAGATTTTATTAGTGAAATATATTTGTACCTATTTTTCTGTATTTACAGTTTGTAAGGTGAAGAACTGAGGCTAGACAATTGAATGAGAAAGGTTTCTTTTAGGAAAAATAAGATGAAGAAACTGAGCATTCTTACCAACTTCTGCAATTTAAAACTAATCAAACAAGCAATCAAAATGTCTTAATAGTGT